TAGTAAAATAATTACTTAAGTGACGGAATGATCACATAATAATCAGTATGTTCCTGCTCGGTTCTGTGGACCCTGAAGTCAAACACAGACAAGATAAATGGATAATGTAAGTTTAGATTTTTATATTTTTTGCTCTTTATRTACAAATCAGGTCTCATCTCACTGCTGCGTGAACTTGTTGCACATTTCAGATCAGCAGGTTCAGATTCAAACAAAACCTGTAGACCAAAAAAAACCTGGTTCTGAACCAAGTAAAAGTAACTTTTTTTTATGTTACTAAAAAAACAAAGATTTATTAAAGTGACAAACTGGCAGCAGAAATAAAAGCTGTAATATGTTCAGAATAAGGTAGGATTTTAGCGCCCCCTTCAGGCCAAAAAACAAATAGAAGAAAATTCAGTGAAATTTACACATTTATGCTGGTTTGTTTTGTATTATAATAATAAAATTCATTTGTTTACAATACTTAATTTTTTTTAATTAGCAACAACAATAATTTCTTTGAACATATGAATAATAATCAAAAAGAAAACAACAGATTATGTCTCTGGATTATCCTGCAGCTTCCGATAATCTGATCTCGTTCTGTCAAACTGTCCTGCCAGAGTCGACACTCACTCTTGACGTAGACCGTGCTCCCGCTGGGCAGCACCACCACGTTGGACGAAGGGCTGGCAGGCCGGGGGGACTTCACTGTTGCTCCTACGAGCCCGCTCGACGCCGTGGCACTGGTGGAGGTGGAGGTGGTGCTTGTATAGGAGTAACACACCACGACTGTAAAGGCACGGTGAGATGTCAACACGTAAATATGTACCGACGAGCCGACAGCGCCTCCTGCTGGCTTTTCGACAGGGAATCCTCACAGAAGAGCAGGAAGTTGTAGTTGTGAAAGGAAATGTCTGAGCCTGGCAGACATTTAGTTTAAACTTGACCGTACCTTCTTTGTTCCCTGTTTCAGCTGGCAGCAGAAGCGAGGCGTTCTGATTGGCTGTGATGCTGGCCACGGCGTTGGCGGTGGCCGTGAAGGCCGTCTGAGGGACCAGCCTCGGCATCAAAGGAACAAGCCGGCGTCCTTCGATGGACCACTCAGACGAGCTGTTTGGACCAGACATGCTGAAAAATATGGACAGCGTCACAGAGCGCTCCGTTTATTACTGGTCACTGTAATTTCTGAACAGTGAATGTTACAAAGACTCACTGATATGCAATGGTGGTGAGACGCTCATCGTTGACGGCCCTGCGGACTTCTGCACGATGACGCTCCGTTGAGATGCTGAGATGGGAACAAGAAACTATTTTAAATAACGAAATTTCTGATTTTAGCTGASAGCAAATGAAAACAAATACCCGAGAATTTTAGTGAGGTCTGCCAGTAGATCCTTCTTATCCTTTGTCAGGTCTCCTTGGGCTCTCAGGGCACTGATCACTCCCGCGTACGCCTCCAGCTCTGAGGGCAGAAACCATAAACATCAGGTTGAGTATTAAAAATCTAGATTTTACCAGTTTTATATCTTATATTATGTCATCAGAATCAGCCTCTCTTGAATGTTTTTTCTGACCTAGCTTACGGAGAATTCTTTTACACTCGTCCCTCCCCAAGTCGAGGATGGTGGGCCACACCACTGGCATGGTACCAGTCAAAACTGGTTTCTCCAGCTGAATCATCGGCTGAAARGAGCAGACACCTTAGTTCAAAAACCAACTTCGTTAGTAAGAACATTTGTACAGGTTGATCTCCAGTGTTGCTTAACAATACTTGTTTATTTTAACTAAATCTGAGTCTGAATATGTTCTTCTGAACTCTAATGTATTATTTCAAACAAATATGCCTTATTTTTGCAATTTTTTCATTTAAATTAGGTAGTAAAGTCTTCACAAACCTGTTTTCAAATGTCTCAACAGTTAATTTGTTTAAGTGTCCAATGTTAAGGGCTGCAATTTACTTCATTTAGTTTATATTACTAAATAATAGGCTTGGGCACAAACACTTTAAGAAGCTCTGACAAAATCCTTTAAGACTACAGGTTGTAATGGTACACAAACACAATTTAACAGCAAATTAAAATGTYAGAAAAAGATTTTAAGTGTTTTATATAGCCGAGTATTTGCTGCTGGGCCTTGAGGCTTAACTAAACAGAAACAAGGCCCTGAACTCATTTTCTTTAATTCTAATGCTTTCTAGAGCACAACACTAAAGCCGAATATTACAGAATGGTTCATTAGTAGGAAATACATAAGTTGACCTACCAAGATCAGATATTCAAGCACAAAACAAAGAAAAAAAATTTAAATGTAATTTTTTCCAATGAAATTCTGCCACTCCAACGACAAACCGATATTCAACTATGTCAACACTATACTAAGGGAATAACAGGTGAGAYGTACTATTAAAATAAATGGTGTAATATTAAATACGATAGTAAAATAAATAAAACTCTGAAAACTCTTGCAAATTCGGGCATAAACCGGCTCGCTATGAACAAAATCTTACCATTAGTTAGCAGGGCAACATCCAGGCCTTTCGTAGATCCGKAGTCCAAACAAACCAAACTGTGCATTAAATATTAAAATATCGTTTACATCATGAGGCAATTTTATAAGTATAAACGTGGAGAAAAAAAGGTCAAATTAATTAAATGATTCAAAATCCCCAAAGATGCGCCAATGTTTATGTTAAGTTGCAGCGGCTGGCCTAGCTGGAGGTTTCTTCTTCCGGTGAGGAGATTATTTTCGTCATCAGGCGCCGCTCTGCCCCCTACCGGTGGAGGACTGTACTGCCGAGCGGAAAATGCAGATCCACGGCTACTTTAGACAAGCTCTCCTCAGTTTTTT